AGCCATGCGCGAGGACATGTTTTTATTATTTATGTGAAAATGACCGCTAACCACAAACTGCTGCTAATTATTTCTTCTCCAGCTGAACTTTGTCTGAATTTAATTTCCGTGAAACATAAATGCAGCGAAAAATGGACACTTATGTTACCCCAAGTTAGCTAACGTGTGCAGGCTTCAATGCTAATAAAATGTGCTTCGAAATAATTACATCTAAATACAAGAACGGCAGTTTTATTTTGAAATCTAAAGCCAGTCGTTTGTGTCGCTCGTTTTCAGGGCTTCTTCAAGAGGACGGTGCAGAACAACAAGAGGTACACGTGTGCGGAAAACCAGGAGTGTAAAATAGACAAGACCCAGAGGAAAAGGTGTCCCTTCTGTCGGTTCCAGAAATGCCTCAGTGTTGGGATGCGGCTGGAAGGTAAACGACTACAATAATAATAATGAAACAGGGACATTTTGCCTGTGATTTGCCACCATTTATTTTAATATGATAAAATAAATATAATAAATAATATTAAAGTCTATCTGAGGCCACTTCTTTATGCGATGGTGCCGCTATCATGCAGTGCTTCCTGCACACATGGGATGGGATTAATTCCCAGACAGCAATGCAAAGGAAAGCACCTGCTTCCTTAGCAGAAAAACGACACATTCTTGTGTTGCTGATAAAATTCTGGAGACTCCCCGGGGAAGAAGGAGTAAAGCTGCACAGACTCCTCGGGGATTCTTCTCAGCCCTAAAAAGGGAAGCAAAAAAAAAAGACGGACTGTTATTTACTTTGTAGGAATACTGTGAACGAGAGTTTAGTGCTCATGAAGCTCAGCACGTCTGCACAGTGTAAGAGGCAGATGATTTTTAAACCTGTTTTCTGCTTTTGTCTCATGTGTGACAGCGGTGCGTGCAGACCGCATGCGTGGGGGTAGGAATAAATTTGGCCCCATGTACAAGAGAGACAGGGCCTTGAAACAGCAGAAGAAAGCTTTGATACGATCCAACGGTTTCAAGTTGGAGAGCACGGCTCCTCCGCCCGCCTCTCCTCTGCAGGCAGACTACGGCTTCACCGGCACCTTGCACACCCTTCCCACCATCTCTAAAAGCCTGCTCCCCTCCACCCCGAGCTCCATCACTCCCACAGACTACGAGGCTAATCTCTACGGACCCCCGTCTTTGGGTATGGCCATGCAGTCGCACGTGCCCCTCACCACCCAGTACCAGTACACAGCCTTTCCCGGAAGGGCAATTAAAGCCGAGTGTCCCGACTACACCAGCTCCCCCGAGACTCTTACAGGATACCCTTACCCAGACATGTACCCCTCAGCCTCGCCGCAACCCCCCAGCCTGCCGCCGCTGGTTCTGGAGCTGCTGCGCTGTGACCCGGACGAGCTGGTCGTGCAGAACAAGATTGTGACTCACCTGCAACAGGAGCAAAACGGCCGGGGTCGGCTGGAAAAGCCCAGCACCTTCAGCCTCATGTGTCGGATGGCGGACCAGACCCTGTTCTCCATAGTGGAGTGGGCTCGGAGCTGCATCTTCTTCAAGGAGCTGAGGGTGAGTAGCAAACTCTTCACCGCGTCGAGTGTTTGAAATGATCCGTGCATGGTTTCACTCGCAAAACATGTGACAAACACACAACACATGTACATGCAGGCTCCATGCAGTATTTTAGTAAACCTGAGATCTACTAGAAAATGCTTCATAACCCAAAATTAGATTTTCATGTGACGCATTCACCCAAAAAGAATCTGTTTAGATTCAAGGGATGTTTTCTCAGACTCAGACGCTTCAATCCCACATTTGCTTTTCCAAGAATTCACAAATAAAAACTGAAAGAAAACAAATTGATCCAGTGACAATCGTTAGTAGAAGCCGAACGTTTCTGAAGATCTTTTATGGTTATGTCTAAAATATGCAGAAGTGAAAAAATAAAAGTTCATCACGCTCAGAAAAGCTTTTCACAAGGTCGGCTGAATCCATCCTTTGTTTCTGTTTGTCAGAAAAAGGGAACACGGTGATGTTGCTGTTTCTGAAAGGATTAAGACGAAGGCTTGTTTTAAGTCTTTATTAATACGTTCACAGGCTTTCAGACCCAACAAACACATGAATGCAATTCAAATGTGATGAAGCTGGCGCCCACGGCTGACTCACATCCACTCGCAGTCCATTCAGAAAGTGTTCACAGCACGACTGCTGCTGCTGCACGTTCTCATAGAGGCTCGCTCGCTTGACTTCCTGTGAATGCTATTTCTGATTTCACATTTCTCAAATGTCCCGTTAATTTTCACTGCAGAGGAGAATTTCTTTCTCATAACTCTTAAAATATGTTTTTTTCCTCTAAACGAACAGAAAGAAGTGCTCTATTAAACTTCAGTAATTACGATGTATGACAGTAATGACAGATTAGAGCAAAAACAAGCTTCTTTCTGAGGTGTTGAGCAACCAGAACAGCTTTAAATCTTTAAATCTCTAAATCTGCTGAGGGGAGAAACACCATTCTGCAAAAAAATCTTCTCTTATTTGGTCGAGTATGCTGGTGACATCATACAGGTGTTTGATTGGGCTGAGATCTGGTGTGTGAAGGCCAGTGCACAAACCTGATGATTGTGGCCCGTAGACGGGGAAACCACGGCAGCAAAATGCCTCACCAGGCATAACAGAGTCAACCTTTTCCTTTAATTTGTCACCAGTCCCCATTATTACATTATATCACGTCCTGTTACAGTCAGAGCCTTCAATAAGTTATATTGAACTGTTATTTACAACACAGCGCAGCTCTAAAAAGCTGCAGTTGGACTAGTTGGTCTGATGTCGTTTAGCTGTGAGTACTTTCAGCCTCGTGTTTCCTCCTGGTAGCTGATAATATCACACACACCTCAGAGAATAATGATCAAACATCTGTCTGTGTGCCGACCCGTCTGTGTACGCTGTAGCAGCGCAGTCAGAACTCACTGCGCTGCTGCTGATGGCGCTGCTGCACGCACACCTCGCATTCTGAGTGAAAAATTATTATTCTTTCCTGACAAATCAGACAAGTAACACAACAAAGACGAAAATATCACCTTCTTCAATAAGTCCTGATATGATGCGTCTGTGCTGACGAACAATCATCTGTCAGCCAGCCACGGCCAAACGGATCCTACCAATTAAACAGTTTAACTAGCAACAAAAGGTTGATGCTGTCCTTGGTGTGATTTGGTCCTTGGTGTCTTTTCATCAGATGCAGGTTATTTACTGAGGTACAGTCAGAGTTCTGCTCCTTTCCTGCTTCCTGCTGGCTGGGTCTGCCACAGGCTTGGATGTGACGAGCCAGCGGTTCATATTCCTGCATGTGAAAAGCATTGAGTGGTTTCCTGATGACTGGATTCACTGCTTGCAGCAAAAAGATCATGCATACAGCAATTTATGCAGTCAAGTCAAAAACTAATCATGCAAAAGCACCAAGAAAGAAAACACAAGAAAATCTACAACGATCGTCAGACAAACCTTTCTGTGAGTCCAACCTGCAGGCAGGGAAATGTAACAGCTCTTCCCATTGAACTCAGTTTTTCTTTCTCCAGTGACAAACACTCACCCCCACGCCTCTCTCCCCCACCCCTCTCTCCCCCATTGTCAGAGGCCAAACAGTTGTGTTTTTTAAAATGTTAAATATAAGAAATTGCTCTGGTCTACAGATCCGATGAATTTTTACTAAATGGAAATAATCCGTAGTTCAAACAGCATAAATGTCAGAGTTCACTGTCAGTGGCTACAGCACTGATCTGCCTTCATGTTGGATTTTGATCTAAACGCTGCTAATTCTGACAAGTAAAGACATTTAATCTTTTGCAACATTGCACAAAATAAATAGACGTAACATCTTATTAGTTTCCAACATTAAACACAGTATTTCGCCCTGTTTTTGTACGATTTTGTAAGCTGTGTGTGAGTGTGTGTGTGTGTGTGTGTGTGTGAGTGAGTGTAAGTGTAGCTCACAGCTTCCAGCTTTTATAACATTTTATTCGAGCTCAAATAGCAACTCCAAGTATGAACTGAATGGACTAAAAATGATTATTTGTTTCTGAGAACATGCTGATTAATTTATTTTATTGTTACTTTGTCTGGTTATTGTCTCAGAGACAAAGCTCCCATTGTGGGGATGATGGTTTTTTGGTTGCGTCTTCTCACACTAACACAACGAGGTCTCTTTACACTGCGTCTGCGCCTGTGTGAGGGATACTTGTCCAAACTGCTGCTCAGTCTCAGCAGCACAGCAGGAACACACAGCAGCTCATCATGTTTCGTTATCGACAAACATCATCAGAATATCCAGTAAATTTGAATATCTGATCATTTTAATCCAGCTGCAGACATTTAATTCTTTCTTCACAGAAAAGTCACGAGTTCAAACAAAACTGCTGATAATGTACAAAGTGTGTGTTGGTATACAGTCGACACAAGTTTTAATCGAGCAATACAAACAATTTATAATTTCAAATAAAGTAATGCAATTTTTTTGTTAAATGGGATAAATATCCTCTCAGTTTTAGTTACAAAGATGTTCTAGTGCATAGGTCTCAAACTCTGGCCCGCGGGCCAAATTTGGCCCGCAGCCTAATTACATTTGGCCCGCAAAGCCATACCAAATTATTATTAGAGCTGGCCTACTGGTATTATACAGCTAATATATATATTTAGTATTAAGCTTTGCTTGTTCCATATTCAGTTTTTCAGCAAAATGTGTTTGAGTCCATAAGAAAAGATTCATTCTTATATCTGGAGGAATAAATATATTTCAATAAATATTAGCGTTAGCCCGCGACTTTGTTCCAGTTTTGAATTTTGGCCCACTGTGTATTTGAGTTTGACACCCCTGTTCTAGTGTTTGGTCCTGACAGCTCCTCTAAGGAGGTCAGGACCTCGGCCTCCTCACCAGTAACATCAAATCATCTGCTCGGGATCATCTCTGACCAACATCTAAATATTGAATCTGACTCGCTAAGCTCATCCAGTCTCGTTTCCTTCATCAAAGATATATCCCCCCAAAATCAAATCTTTACTTTAACTGCTGCTCCTGCTCAGGCAGTTTCCTGCAGAATACAGCAGCAAGTCAACACCTACTCAGGACTCACATATCATATCATCATATTTGCACTTTCCAGTTTGGCTGAATCTGTGGTTTGTTTTATACAACTGCTGAAAAGTCATTTTTAAAAATCTTTCCCTCTATATTGCGTCTATTTGTACGTATAGAAGTGTGTTGGAATTAATGTTGACAATGTGTCTGCATGTTGGAGCATGCATACTTTTAACTCTGTGATATACAAATACATTTATATTAATTATTAATTAATTAATTATTATTACTACTACACTTTATGTGAAGCAACAGTAGAGCTTTATGCTCGGCCTCTCTATGTCAGAAGCCCACCGCACTCATGGTGTCACAGACTCACAAAACCAAAATGTAAATTTTGTGGAAGAAACACAAAAAACAACACATTATGACAAAATATGCACACGCTGGAACGTTCCACAACATGCCCATTATAGTTATTAATTTACAGCTAGAAACATAATAATGGTCATTTATTCTCACCAATTATCAGTTATATTTAAAATAATGTCAATGGAGAAGGTGGGGTATAGACCTCTGAAGATTAGCATGAGTTACACAAATACTTCATGTTAGTCTTCAAATAATGCAAACTAATTAAAATCTGAATATAAGATACAAAGGGGATTTTCTTTTTGCTAATATCAGATTATTTACTCGTACATATAAATAACCCGGCAGCAGGAAATCAGTGAGCGCTAACCTCAGCCTCCTGTAACCTCAGGCTTTGTTATTTAATGTAAAACATTTTAATCAGACTTAGAAATAGTTGTAATTACAGCTTCTAATTTGTAGATTTCATTTAAAAGAGCACATTATCATAATTAGTAGTAGTCATAGTAGCAGTAGCAGGACTGCTGGTACATGCTGCACAATTATTTTCCCTGCTTGGACAAACAGACGTAATTAATCCCGACAGAACAATAAAAACAATAATAAATAAACGTGCTTCTTTTTTTAAGCCATTGCTTGGTAGCTGGAAGGCAATGTGATGGTATTATAATATCTGATATATATAACATTCTTAGTTATATAGAATGTTATGCTGCTATATGCTTCTCTATAGCAGCAATACTTCCTTGAAAATGTTGTAAATGCATTTTCAAGGAAGTATTGCTGCTATAAACCGAAACCTGACAAACAGATTTACGTTGGACTGGTTTGGTTCTCACGGACTTCATGAAATGTCTAATTCTAGACGTCAGACTAAACAACAGCTTTCCAAACACAATTATATTGCTTCAGATTTGAAATAAGTTCTAATTTGCATTAATGTCTAATTCCCCATTCATAAAAGTTTTGTCAGGCCATGAACCAAAACACGGGAAAAGATGAATAATTCTGGTTTTACTCTTATTTTGAAACGACAGCTTTTCTCACAAGTTTCATTTCCCTGCCAGGAGTCTCCTTTTATACACATCCAATGTGCTTGTGTTGACATTTACACCATTTTTATGCACAGTGGACAGCCAACATGGACAGTGAGAACAAAGCTGTGCATATTTTGCCAAGAAAGCCTCCCGCTGAAAGCGCCGTTTCCCTGGGCTGGATAATTACATTCCATGCAGACGATAACGGGGGAATGTCAGCTCTCCATCGCAGCTCTTCTCTGCACTTGCCTACATTGTTACTAAATTATTTGCAGAATGAAAGCTATCGATTGCTGCAATTTCCCCAGAGGTGGCCTTTGTCTGTCATATGTTTGACCTTCTGCTCACCTGGTGATGATGGAAACGTGGCTGAGATGCACACAATGAACACAAACGCTACTAAAGGCTGGGAATTTTACTTAAAATACATGTTATTCATGAAAATATGGACAGATTTGGAATGACTGCAGGGTCAAACTGATTAAAGATGACATCTAAATATTAAATCAAAAACTTTGGATTAGTTGAATGTTCATGAATTATTGCTTGTTTTCTTTGCTCCCCAGAGTGTGTGATATATTAGTGAACTCAGAGTGTTACTGCAGAACTCCAAGTGTTTCGCTAGTTACTAAACACAGTTGCACAGAAAGCAAACAATCCCAGGTTTGTTAGAAAAACTGTCATATCACTTCTTTATCAAAGCTCAGAAGATAAATAACTGACTGATTGGCACGCAGGAAGCTCTGCTGCTATGTTCCCATGCTTGCACTGGTGCTGCACATTTCTGTTCCCGAGTTGCCACTTTGACCAGAACTGTCAAAACGAATATATTTTCTTAAAAGTCACTAACACCATATTTGTTAGCTGGCAGGGCCAAGTCCAGCCTCTGCAACTCAACATGTAATAGCTGTCTTTGGAAGATCAAGGCTGGAAACAGACCTATACGTACATTCATCATTCTCTACCTCGAGAATAAAGCTGTGTTCATATCACATCATTCTGCCTTGCAGTATTTGGGCCAGGATAGTTGCTGGAACGCTTTTGGAACCCTGAACAGTTAAAACAAGGGTTCAGCTGATAGCTGGAATCAAGTTAAAGTGTTTTGAGTAGGGATGCACCGATACCGATACTGGTATCGG